TTCTCACATAAATTGGATTTAATTTTGACCAAAGTACATTACTTAAACATTAATTTTTAATTCAACTTGTTAATATGTTGTTTAGGATATTGCATCCTCATTTATAAGTGAAATATGTTTGTAATTTCCTCTTTATAAAAATATATTTTCTCCTATTTTAATATTAGGTATATCCAGATTAAGTAGAATGATTTTGAAGTCTTTCTTCTTTTTCTATTGTTTATAAGATTTACCATGATCTGTTTTTTGAAATTATCTTTTACTTTTATTTATAAATATTAGTTATCTATTTTTTTAGACTTTGGAAAAAAATACTAAGAAGTTAACTGATGACTCCATACTGAACATCAGAGTCAAAGCATTCTGTAATAGACATACTCTTATTTGACAATGTGAATGTTACTTTCTTTGCACTATTATTATTATTGCTTAATATTTCAATGCAGCAATCATCTGATTTCTTTTCTGAATATATTTATCTTTGTTCGTTCTTTACGAGGTTTTTGTTTCTAGTCCTTATTTTAAACATTGTTATTGTTATTAAATTTTAAGCCTTTTTAATTTTGTGAAAGCAAAAAGTGGAAACCTAATAAACACATGTATATGTAAAAAAATAAAAAATTAAAATAATTGAAATTATACCTTGTATCTTCTCAGACCATAAGGCAATAAAGGTGGAACTCAATTCCAACAAAAATTTCAGCCCCACACAAAGACATGGAAATTAAACAACCTTATGCTGAATGACAGTTGGATCAAGAAAGAGATAAAGGAAAAAGTATTAAATTCCTCAAATATAACAACAATGAAGCTACAAGTTACCAAAACCTGTGGTGTACTGCAAAAGCAGTCTTAAGAGGGAAGTTTATCACATTAGAACCCTACATCCAAAAAAACAAAAAGAGAGCACATCAACAAACTAGTGAATCAAAGGAAATGGAAAAGGAAAAACAATCCAATAAAAAAAACTATCAGAACAAAAGAAATAACCAAAACTAAATCAGAAATAAATGAAATTGAAAACAAACCAATCATTTAGAAAATTAATGAAACAAAGAGTTGATTCCTTGAAAAAATACACAAAATTAATAAAACATTGGCCAGATTAAGTAGAAACAGAAAAGCAAGATAGCAGATACAAGAGATTATCTCCAACTACAAGAATGTTATCAATGTGAAGGAAGTGGACCAATACCTGGAATCACACCTTCTCCCTAGATTTAACCAAGAAGAAATAGATTATTTGAACAGACCAATATCAAACACTGAAACCAAAGAAACAGTAAAAATTCTTCCAACACAGAAGTCAGGAACCAGACAGCGTCACACCACAATTCTATCAAACCTTCAAAGAAGAGCTTATACCTATACTGCAGAACCTATTCCAAAACACTAAGAAGGAAGGAATCTTCCCCAACACATTCTATGAAGCAAACATCGCCTTGATACCAAAACCAGGAAAAGATCCAACTAAAAAGGAGAACTGCAGACCAATTTCACTAATGAATATAGATGCAAAAGTACTCAACAAAGTCTTCACCAATAGATTATAGCTACACATCGAAAAAACTATACATCGCATCAAGTAGGCTTCATCCCAGGAATACAAGGCAGGTTTAACACATGCAAATCCATAAATGTAATTCACCATATCAATAGAAGCAAAAACAAGAACCATATGATCCTCTCAATAGATACAGAAAAAACATTTGATAAAATTCAGCATTCTATTCTAACAAGAACACTTAAGAATATAGGCATAGGTGGCACGTTTCTTAAACTGATTGAAGCCATCTATGACAAACCCACAGCTAATGTTATACTGTATGGAGTAAAACTGAAAGCTTTTCCGCTTAGAACTGTAACCAGCCAAGGTTGTCCTCTTTCACTGCTACTATTCAACATAGGGCTGGAAGTTCTAGTCAATGCAATTAGGCAAGAGAAGGATATAAAGGGCATCCAAATGGGGTGAGAGGAAGTTGAACTCTCACTCTCTTATCAATGATATGATCTTATATGTAGAGAACTCCAGGTACTTAACCACAAGACTCCTGGAAGTGATCAAGAAATACAGTAACAGCCAGGTGCAGTGGCTCATACCTGTAATCCTAGCATTCTGAGAGGCTGAGGTGGGTCAATTGCTTAATCTCATGAGTTTGAGACCAGCCTGAGCAAGAGCGAGAGCCCATCTCTAAAAATAGCCAGATGTTGTGGCAGATGCCTTACTCCCAGCTATTCTGGAGACTGAGGAAGAGGATTGTTTGAGCCCAAGAGTTTGAGATTGCTGTGATGCCATAGCAGTCTACTGAGGATGACAAAGTGAGACCCTGTCAGAAAGAGAAAGAAGGAAGGAAGGAGAAAAGAAAAGAAAAAGAAAGAGAAGAAATAAAGAGGAGGGAGGGAGGGAGAGAGAGAGAAAGAAAGATGGTGACATCTCAGGGTACAAAATCAATATCCACAAATCAGTAGCCTTTACACCGATAACAGGCGAGTTGAGAAACTAACCAGAGACACAATTCCCATTACAGTAGTTTCAAAGAAAGTAAAATACCTAGGAATATACCTAACAAAAAAGGTGAAGGAAATCTACAAAGAGAATTATGAATAAGAAAAGAAATAGCAGAAGACTTTTAACACATGGAGGAGCATGTTTTGGCTGGGAATAATCAACACTGTTAAAATGTCTACACCTCCCAAGCAATCTACAGATTCAATGCAGTCTCCATTAAAATGCCAACATCATACTTAGAAGATTTGGGAAAAAATATAGTTCTTTGTTTCGTATGGAACCACAAAAAGCCCTGCAAAGCTAAGGCAATTCTTAGTAATAAAAACAAAGCTAGAGGCATCACCCTACCAGAATTTAGGCTATATTACAAGTTCACAGCAGTCAAAACAGCATGATATTGGCACAAAAATAGAGACATTGACATTTGGAACCAAATAGAAAACCAAGAGATGAAACAAATCTCTTATGGCCATCTGACCTTTGATAAACCCAACAAAGCATATCCTGGGGAAAAGAATCCCTATTCAATAAATTGTGCGGGAGAACTGGATAACCACACATAAAAGACTGCAACTTGACCCTCACCTTTCACCACTTATAAAAAGTGCTTCTAACTGGATAAAAGATTAAAATCTACGGCTGGAAACAATTAAAATCTTAGATGAATGTGTGGGAAAAACTATTGAAGATGTCTGCCTGGGGAAAGTTTTTATGAAGATGTTTCCATGGCAATTGCAACAACAAAAATTAACAAATGGGACTTAATTAAACTGAAAAGTTTCTGCACGCCTAAGGACACAGCAATCAAAGCAAATAGACAACCTTCAGAATTGGAAAATATATTTGCATATTATGAATCTGACAAAGGCTGGATAACTAGGATCTACAGAGAACTCAAATTAATTAAGAAAAAAGACCTAATAATCCCATCTATCACTGAGCAAGAGACATGAACAAAACCTTCTCTGAGGAAGACAGGCAAATGACTAACAAACATCTGAAAAAACACTCATTGTCCCTAATCATCAGAGAAATGCAAATCAAAACCACCCAGGGATATCACCTAACACCAATAAGATTAGCCCACATCACTAAATCCCAAAGTTGCAGATGCTAGTGTGGATGTGGAGAGAGGGAACACCTTTACGCTGTTGGTAGGACTGCAAACTAATAAAACCTCTTTGGAAAGAAGCATGGAGAATCATGAAAGAAATCAAATTAGAGCTCCCATTTCATCCTGCAATCTCACTGCTAGCCACCTAACCAGAAGGAAAAAAAAAAAAAACCATTTTATCATAAGGACATTGCACTAAATTGTTTATCATAGCTCAATTTATAATCACCAAGATGTGGAAACAACCTAAATGCCCATTAATTTAGGAATGGATTAACAAACTGTGGTATATGTACACCATGGAATACTATTTAGCCTTGAAAAGATGGTGACTTCACATCTTTTGTATTAACCTAAATGGAGTTGAAACACATTCTTCTCAGTGTATCATGAGAATGGAAAAGCAAATATCCAGTGTACTCAATACTAACATGAAGCCAGTAGATGATTTAATTCATGCCTGCATAGGAGAAAAACTCATTTCAATTCAACATGAGGGGAACCATGGAGGGGGAGACAGGAGGGGGGATTGGGGTGCTCCCACTGAATCAGCACAGTGTAAGGGTATATGGCACACCTTTTGCGTGCAGGACATAGCTACAAGAGGGACTCTACCTAACAAATTCAAATATTGTAATTTGGCTGTTTTACCCTAACATCAACCTGAAATTAAAAAAAAATAAAGTTATAGAAGTTACTGATCAAAGAACAAAAAAACAGACTTGATAAACAAAAAGGTAAGTTGCAAATACCATTTGAATAATTGAGATGTAAGATGACATGGGCTTCAACCAAAGAAGTGGTAATAGAGTTGGAAAGAACAAAATGGAAAAGAAAGTGAAGCCACATGTCAGTCTTACCTTGTGAATTCATCTTTCTCTGCCTTTAACTCTTGACATTTACGAAACCTTTGTTCTTGGCCTGGCACTCTGTACAGCCTGTCACAATGGTCCTGTTCACACCTGCAGCTGAGAACTCCCAACTTCCTTCCTCTGTATAAATACTTCCAGCATGACCAAACTTGAAGTGACCAATGGTTTTCTAACCAGCTTGCAAAATTCCTGAATTAATAGGTTTTCATTGGCCAGTGTGAGCTGACTCTGAGACACCATTGAATCAGCCCCACATTCTCCTCTAAACTCTGACTCCATACATGTGAAAAGCCTGCTTGACCTTTGTTTCAATGGCACCTCAAAATTAATATTCCCAAAACTGAATGCATGATTTTTCTGCATGAAACCTAGTCATCTTCTGGGTTCTTCAAAATGTAACCACCATCTATCTACCCAGATAAGCAAGACAGAACCCTATTATTGCCTTCTTGTTTCTTTGATCCTCATACTCAATCTTCACCGGAATCTATCAATTTTTAGGAAGAAAATAAATAGCTCTTGAATCCTTCCACAGCCCAAGTTACCATCATCTCTCCCCTGGACTGTAGCAATACCTTGTTACTCTTTGTCAACTGGCCTTCTGGCTTTCATCCTGGCCTCCTCCAAACCAATCTTCACATTGAAGCCAAAGGGACCAGAGTTATTGGTTCAAAATGCTGATGGGAACATATTATCCATCTCCTGCCTGAAAACATTCAAAGAGCAAATCTAGAAGTAGCCTGCAGGCCTTGTCCATGTGAGGGCTTCAGGCTTGCCCACCACTCCTCTGCCACTCTGGCATTCTTCAAGTCCTTTGAACACATCAGGCTATCTCCCACCACAGAGTCCTTGTACCTGCTAGTTCCTGTTTGTAACACTGTTCCTTCCCTTCCTTCCTAATTAACTTCTATTTAATCCTTCAGGTTTCACCTCAAGTATCACTTTGTTTTTTCTCTGACCTACCTAACTAGGTTAAGTCCCTTATTCTAGGTTGTCCCGGTTTGTATGCATTTGTATGTGTGATTATTTGGTTAATATCCACTTCCTTTACTGGACTGTGAATTCCATGATGGCAGAGACTGCGTCTGGTTTTACAGATCATTCTACCTCCTGTTCCTAACACATATGTGTCCTCAGTAATTACATATTGAATGTATGCAAGCATGAATTAATGAATGAATAAGTGGCTCTACCGAAGAGGCAGCATAGAATTCTGGAGTGAGACTACCTGAGCTTGAATCCCAGCTTTCCCACTTACTAGTTGTGTTGTCTTGCTCAAGTGTTTCAATTTCTACATCTGGAAAACTGGAATAATAAAAGTAGTTGTTATGAGAATTAAGTAACTATTTGTAAAGTACTTAAACAGTGTTAGACACATGGTAATGTATGTATATGTACAAGATGTTCACTAATATAAACAATCACACTTTCCCATCTCTCTCTCTCTCTCTTGTCCCATTGACTCAATGGCAAGCAAAAACATTTATTTTCCAGTGGTTTCCAACATTCCAGATCTCAAGTCTGACTGTAGGAGGCCCTCAACTGCCACTTCCTGAGACTCCTGAGGTCTTTGGAGTCTGAATGACATGACCTGATTCCTTCACCCCCCTACCTCAAATCTATCAGGAAGTGCTGTCAGCTCCACTTGAAACATGAACCCTTGGTTGGTTCTACTATTCTACCATCCTTGACTAAGCCATGGTAATATCTCCAGCATCCCCACTGTGATATCCCCACTTCCACTCTTGGTCCCCTACAACCTGTTCTCCATATAATGGTCAGACCAAACCTATGAAAGTGCCAATCTGATCACATCACTTTCCCATTTAAAGCTCTCATGTGGCTCCTCATCACACTGAGAATGAAGTCCAAACTCCTCCCCATAGTTCAGAAGGGACTTCACAAGAGAGCCCCTGCCTACTTCCTCAGTCTCATCTCTTAGCTTGCTCCAGCCACTTACCACTCATAGTAGGTTTATTTTTTTTATTTTTATTTTTATCAGTTTTTGGCCAGGGCCAGGTTTGAACCCACCACCTCCGGTATATGGGGCCAGCACCCTATTCCTTTGAGCCACAGGCACCACCCTCACAGTAGTTTCTTAAAACACTATTACTCTCTCTTGATTCAGCCCTTTGCAATAGTATGCCCTCTGCATGTATCACTTCTGATGTACCATCTCCTTCACTTAGCTGACCCCTACTCTTCCTCTAGATCCAGACAGGATATTGCTTCCTTTGAAAAGCCTTTGCCAATGCTGACTCCCCACCTCCTACTCCTGTGATGGGTGACCTTTCTTTCTTTCTTTCTTTTCTTTTCTTTTCTTTTCTTTCTTTTTTTTTTTTTTTTTTTTTGAGACAGAGAGTCTCACTTTGTCACCCCTTGGTAGAGTGCTGTGGCGTCATAGCTCACATCAGCCTCAAACTCTTGGGTTTAAGTGATTCTCTTGCCTCAGCCTCCCAAGTAGCTGGAAATACAGGTGCCCACCATAACATCCAGCTATTTTTAGAGACAAGGTCTTGCTCTGGCGCTGACTGGTCTCAAATCTGTGAGCTCAGGAAATCCACCCACCTCAGCCTCCCAAGTCCTGGGATTACAGGCATGAGCCACTGTGCCCAGCCAGGTGCCCTTTCTCTGTGGTCTCATAGCACCAGTTTCTACCTCATCAGAGCAGCACCACCTTGTCCTACCACTGCCTGCTTACTTGTTGATCACACACACACACACGACTGTAAGTTGTTGAAGGCAGTGACTTGATCTTGTTCACAGCTGGACATTCAATACCCAGCATGAGGCTTGTCATGGAGTAGGTGGCTCAATACATCTTTGTTGAGTGAATCCTGACTCTGCTATTCCCTAGTGATTAGATAAGTTCTCTCTGAACCTGTTTTACCAACTATAAAATAGGATGGGTGGAATAATACTTGGTTAAGCTGTTGTGAGGGTTAAATGAGATGCCATGTGTAAAGCACACAACACAGAGTAAGTGCTCAATAAATGGCAGGTATTGTTGGGTAGCAACTGGTCAGCAGAAAAGAAATACAAGTCTCTCCTTCCCTGCTATCCAATATACACACCTATCCTGCTTCCTTCCTGTCTTCATTCTCTTGAATAAAGCTGGAAAACCTGAAACAACAAAAATAACCCTCTACAGTAAACTCTTGGGAGAAACTATCTTCTGTATCAACAACACACCCTTGGCTCAGCCTTCAGTGGACCAGCCCCAAGTTGGAGGTCTGGCTTTTCTTTTCACCCCATCCAGATATTTACAGTATAAACCTTGGATGATGAACAGGGGTGGGGAGTGGAGGAGCACAGCCCGTGCCAAGAAACCTCAGGAAGGAAGTCACACTGGGTCTCCACACAGTAACACACAGTGTTCTGGAATGGGAGTGGAGTCTTCTACCAGAATGCTTTGTCAGCTGTGAGAGAGAAGAAAGGGGTCTTCTTGGCAGTGAGGAAAAGTGAGGTGGGCCCACAGAGGCCAAGTCTCTCTCTCTCTCCACTTTGAATACAGCCTGCTAGACAAAAGACCTAAACTGAAGTTCAAGCTCTATCTCAACCTTTCCATCTTCATGGTGAAAGAAGAGAAGCCCCATCTCCCACTTCCTAAACTTCAGCTGTACTGGACCTTCCAGTTGATGACCCCTAACTGCCTCTCAGTTGGCATTCAATTTTAATAAATACATCTTGGTTGCCTAATGGCTCTTTGATTTCAAACTGGCCAATTGCCTTCTGGTCTTTGTCAAAGCACACACGTACATTTACACAGCCAGTATGTACCTATTATTTTGTTCTGCTTTTTCCATTTAACACTATTCCATACATATCTTTTTTCATACCAACAGAGTTCATGAAGTAGCCACATTTAGTGGCTGTACTATAGCCTAATATACTAAAACTCATATTTTATGAGTTTATGAGTTTAGCCAAATCTCTATTACTGACTGCTTTTAGAAACTTCCTCTTAGGGACTTTTTTCTTTGGGTGCAAATTCAGTTTTTAAACCACTTCAGAAATCATGAAAACCAAAGATCCAGGCTGGGTCCAGTGGCTCACACCTGTAATCCCAGCACTTTGGGAGGCTGAGGCAGGAGGATCACTTGAGGCCAGGAGTTCAAGATCACCCTGACCAACACAGCAAGACCCCAATCTCTACAAAAAAAAAATAGAAAATTTAGCCAGGTAGGGTGGTGTGTGCCTATAGTCCCAGCTACTCGGGAAGCTTGGGCAAGGGAATGGCTTGAGCCTAGAAGTTTGAGGTAACAGTGAGATATGATGACACCACTGAACTATAGCTTCAGCAACAGAGTGAGACACTATTTCAAACAAAAAAGAAAGAGAAACAAAGAAAGTAAAAGAAGGAAGGAAGGGAGGGAGGGAGGGAAGGAGAGACCATGCAGGGTGCTCATGGCCTGTAAGTAATCCTAGCACCCTAGGAGGCCAATATGCATTTTGCTTGAGCCCAGGAGTTTAAGACCAGCCTGAGCAAGCGTGAGACCCTGTTTCTGTAGTCCCAGCTACTTAGGAAGCTGAGGCAAAAGGATCACTTGACTCCAGGGTGACAGAGTGAGACTCCATCAAAAAGGGAGGAAAGAAGGAGAGGTGACAAGACAGGGGAGGGGATGGGGGGGAGGGAAGAGAAAGGGAAGAGAAAGGAGAGGAGATTATGCATTTCTAAGGCAACGTGCTAGTTGTAGATGAGCTCTTCACACAGGGGGTGTGGGAAAGCACACTCCTTTACCTCAGTAAGCTGAGTCTATTTAGGGAGACATAAAACAAACACAAATAGCAATATATGAAAAATAAGTAATCCAATGGGAAGGACTGAGGAAGATATTTTAGTCAAGGTATATAAAAAGGAGTTAGAGCTAGAAATAAGGAGAGTGTATTTGAGAAACAGGAAAGACCTAGATGGGTCCTAGAAAGGAAACCAGAGTTATGGGCAAATCTTAGGCTGAACCCATATTCCAAGGACCAAGAATTGCTCACTCAGGCTGAGGCAGGTAGATTGCTTGAGCTTAAGAGTTCAAGACCAGCCTGAGCAAGAGAGAGACCCTGTCTTTGCTAAAAATAGAAAAACTAGCCAGGCATGGTGG